CTATTTTCATACAAATTATACTATAAATAATCGAATATTTAATTAAAAAGTAATTTATAATTACACTTGCATCATTTCATATAATACTGATAATGTTCATGAGTATTTTAATAAAAAAATATGTCGATTACATTGAGATTCATATTAATTACATTCATATACGTCATATAATAAGTCTTCAAAAATTGATAACTAAAATTGGAATATAAAAAAGATATTAATATACTTATTAGTTTAAGTTAACACTTAATTCTCCATAGCCATAAACACATATACAATTGCGAGCATTAATATCATCTAGTACATTTGCATTCATATTAATTCATTAACTATTCCACAAAATAAAGTAATTAAACTATATTAATTATATAAGTAAACTTATTATAATTAAGTATTTTTTATTTAATAAATAAAAAATTAATACATTTAATAAAAAAAATAATTGCGCACTAAATGATATTAATATTCTTGATTGTACATATACATACATATATCTGTACTACTAATTAGGAAGCCCTCTGTGTGTACGTGTGTGTGTATGTGTGTTTGTATTGTATGCTTGACTGTACATATATTACGTATGTATTTATGTATATTATAGATATATGTAATGAATGAGAAAATAGAGACACATGCCTGAGTAATGACCTTAAAGCTATTTGAACACAGCCAACAGTCACGGTAATTATATGATATCACACCTACGCACAGAATGACATATAAATAATGATCTTACATATAGTCCAAAAAAGATACATTAAGATGATAAATTGAAATTCCTGAAAAATGGTATAAATATAAATGAATTATTTCAACGAAGTAACGTTGATAATGGAGATGGTGGCAATGACGGCGATGGAGGCCTTGCTGCAAGAGTTTCCAATTCACTGCAATGGAATTGACATACAGAGCTAGATGTACTTAAAGTTGATTCCGACAGCATTCCCCGTCCTTTATAAGTCTTCTTCGTTCGATTGTTATCTTTGTCAGTTTCAACTACACCTTTTTCATATTTATTAAAACAAATTGATAATATTTTCAATCTGTAAAAAATTGAAAGATATTGATTAATATAATTCATATCTAGTAATATTTAGTCGCATCATTCTAAAATGTATCTCCTTATAAATTATAAACATATAATTAAATGATTACTAGAAGAATTACTTGGGATATTCGAATTGAGCAAAGTGCGAAGATGGTCCAATTATTGCTAACATTGGACACAAAAATAATGTTGCGTATATCCAACTGACTCCCATAACAAATAGTAAAAAGACACCGATTTGTATATATGCTAGTACATGAGAAGGTAACATTAAAGCACCCGCAGCACCGCTAGTAATTGCTGCCATAAGAGTTGGACCGCCCATTTGTTGTAGTGCTGTTTTTACTCTGTCTATTTTTTTCTCAGAAATACATGCCTTATAACTCACAGCATAATGTAAACTAAAATCAACAGCAAGACCTAAAAAAAGAAAAAAACAAAATATATATTTGTTATTAATTTCATAAGTATTTTTAATCTTTTTTTATTGTTATTTACCAATAGCTGTAGAGATTGCTACGCTTTCTAAGACATTAAGTTTCCAGCCAAGAAGAATAAGTATTGCAATAGTTACGATAATTACAGCACCAATGGTTATAATTGCATATAGACTAACAAGAGGATTTAAGGTCACCAGTGCTAATACTATTAGAGCCAAACTTAACGATACTGCGATCGCCCATATGGTACCATCATATAATGTACGCTGGAGTTCATAAAATTCTAATTTACTAATAAACCATCCTCCTCGCATTCCTTTAGGTGCAGTTCGCAATTGTTTTTGCATCCAATTTTCAACCTGATTAAATTCAAAAATTTATTTTAAAAATTCAAATCTTTGTCATTATTAAGTCACATATAACTGGATAAACAGAGTACTTGCCTCGTGAAAAAATTTATCCATGTGTCCAAACGAAAGGGAATATGCATATGTGCTATCATATTCAACAACAAGTGCTTTAATTTTAGGCATTACTTTTATCGCGAGCGTATCATTTGATGTCTGCGTGGATAATAACGGTTTTACAAATTTTGGACCTGCGGAAAGTAGGCTACCTCGACTCCACAAATAAGGTGTGCGATGTAATTCCTTATTAGCTTCGGCTGCACATTGTTGCAGAACGTCTGGTTTATACGGAAATGTATTGTTCTCACAACACGGCATATTCTCAATGTTAGGATCAATAGGATCCTTACAACGTCTTTTCATCCATGATTTCAATGGTTCGATAAAGCAATTAGATAATAGAGGTCCAACAGTGCTGCGATAGAAAGGTTGGCTTCGTAAATTTTGACAAAATCGTTCAAGCCATAATTGCGACTGCGGATGAGAAATATCAAAATTATCGTCCCAATCCGGCGTTCCCTTTTTACTAGGATTAAGATAATCTCCGTTATCAACTGGTTTTATACCCCAGACGAATGTCAATGGTAAAATTTCAGCATCTCCACCAACCTATATGAATAAAATATATTATACATATTTATAACAGAAATATATATACATAATACAAATAAATATAAGTACCATTTCGTATCGTTCAAACCAGAACTTCTGCGAATATATTAGATCGTACTGTTCAAATGGATGTGTGCTATGAAATAACTGAAAATCCATATAATCTGGCAATTGCAATCCCGGGTAACTGAAGACGACGATGCAGGACGATATCGCCACAGTTCCTAAACTTAATAACCAAAACCATCGTAAACGAAGAACTAATGCAGTAAGAAAGGTAGTAAACCCTACTGTTACTTTATCTCCCAAGGATCGTAAAGGACGAATTATTTTTCTGGTAATAAAATTGACAGGTGACAAAGTAGATAATTTACAATGCTCCGACACGACTACACACGCTGGTAACCATGTGATCATAAGAAAGAAATTAGCAATAACCGTCATGCCTGAAAATAAACTATAAAAATTCATCAATGATGTATAAAAGTCAAGAATATTGAAATGTAAAATAAAAAAATGTCTGATTTATAATAAAATCAGTACCTAAAGCAATTGATAGCAGTTACATTACTAACAATCGACGCGAAGAAAGCTACTGCTGTAGTAAGAGATGTAACAAACATAGATGGGAAAGCATGTTTCATTGTTTCTTGTACTAAATGTACTAATCCATCATTAGAAAGTTTCTGTATGTGTTGTTTTCTAGATTCCCACACTTTACAGTATATGAATGCATCATCTGCTCCGATACCTATGAAATGATTTTATCATAATGATATGTAGTTATATCTTTATAGATTTTACTTGGAATTATTTTGATATGCTACAAAATACTAACCTACAGCTACAACAATAGCCAACAGGTTCATAAAAGGAAAAAACTGAATATTCAAAACAAGTGTATATATTGCATATGAAATACCAAGACTGAATAGCACTGCGAAAATAGTTGCAATAGTCAATATTATAGAACCAGTGTACGCCCAGATGCAAAATGTAACAAAAATAAAACCGGCGAGCACCAAACTCGAATCAGATAATAACAGTCGATCAAATAGTGTACTTTTTAGGCCAAGTTGCATGCCTTGAACACGAAAATTTCCGTACATTAAATCGTCATTGTCTATTTCTTTGTAATAATCTAAAGTTGCTGAACTTGCCGCGATTGGAAGAAATAGCATGGCAGATTGCAACGTTGTATTTTTGTTTTTAGGATCCGTACTCTATAACAATTCGATCAATATTAAATATTAGGATAAATAATCATATTCATATTAAAATAATATTAAGATCAGACAGGCTCTTACATCATTTGGGATAAAATTAACATCCAAAAGATAATGCAGTAGATGATAAACTGCATTTCTTGTATAACATTCAATTGGCACATGTTTTTGGCAATTAAAGTCTTCTGCACAATTAGGCAATAACTGACGATTATGATAATAATAAGCGCATTGTTGCAAAAGTATTTTCACTCTGCTTAGATCACTCTCTGTCACTCCTAAACATGAACTTCGATTAGATAGAAGTGCTACATAATTAGCTGGTGACCAACTTCTACAACATTTATGATCTCCTTCGTCCTCTCGTGTCTGACACAAAGATGGAAAATGACTGTTTCCTCGAAGTACATCATCAATGTGACATTGAGCTAAAACACCTTGTATTGACCATAAATCATTTTCTTCTGAATCTACAATAATTACAACACGAGCGTATGAAGAACTGGGTAGATTGCAGAAAAAATTATCGCTATCAAAGTGATCTTGAGTTCTATCATTATCTATATTATGCTTTTCTTTCATTTCTATTAATTCTTCCCATTTATCTTTCTCCTCCTCATTTGCTTCTTTATCATAATTATTATTATAATCTGTATTATTTAATGTCATTTGATGTTTCTTTCCTTTTCTCTTATTTTTATTTTTCGGTTTTTTTCTAAGAATACCCTGAGTAGGCAAACTATAATTTTGTGTTTTTATATTAGACTGCAAAATCAAGTTACAAATTTAATATGCTTTATTATTCAATTATTCGATGTATGTCTATTATTCCTAAATCTAGCTGGTAATGAATAGATAGAATTTATTACCTGAGATAGATGATGTATATATTGATGATATTCTAAAGGATTATCAATAAGCTCTCCTCTTGATTTTGTAGCTTCTATTAAATTATTCCAAGCTGTCAGTCTTTGTGCTAAAACTGTGCCTCTGGCTTCAAAACCCTAATGCAAATATTTGACATTTTAAATCAGAATTGTATATAATTTTTTTAAGTTTCTATATAGATTATATTTTTACATACCATTTGAGGATCTAAAAATTCTGGAAACTTTTTTGTCGTAAGCGGAATGATAACACATGTCGAAGAAAATATAAAAACAATTAATAAAATAACGTATGGATGATGAGCAATTATACGAGGAAACCAGGCTCCTTCCATCTCTATAAAGATTTCTTGCTTCTGAATGTTTTATATTTTTTTATGTATACTAGATGAAAAATAATCGATAAACGATTAATAAATTATCAGTTGTTAAATTTATCGAAAAATTCGTAATAATATTAAAATATTCTTCTACAACAAAGGCAACTATTCTGTATCATATAATCATGCTCGATCAATTTTATACGAGCGCTCTGCAAGAGCACTAAACGTTTCCGGTCGAATAATTTTGTAATTTTCTTTATTCGTATCAGAAGCCACGTTCAGCGTTAATTTCAAATGTATGTCGGAGTAAATTTTAACATCCAATTCGCGAACGCAGAAACGACCATACGAACGTGACGAATTTCAACATACGAGCATGACAAGATCACTCGAATTCGTGAATGCTTCTTTTTATTATCATATTATTCAATCATATCGAACGCGCTGTACTCGCAATATTTCTTGCCGATTTCCTTCGCGGAGAAACCGCATTGTGCGTCTACTTCGAACAACAACACGTGTTTACATTACAGTGATAAATGGTATGATCCAATGCTGCTGAAGGAAACGCTCTACTCGCGCATGCGTGGATGCCAGATTCGGAATATGATATATTCGATTTTGACACACGCTTTACGCGTGTGAAAAATTTGAACGTGCAAAATTAAAAATACACAACTTGTGCAATGTTAAATTAATCAACAAACATATAATATTAAACATTTTAATTAACAATCACGATGCACGAATATCTAGATAAGCAAGTGTGTCCGAAAATATTTAGTAATATTATTTTACAGCAGCCAATAGAGAAGCGTGATTTCTAGGAACTTTAATTAGCAGTATTTTTTTCCTAACAACACGAGTTCTATTGACTCTCGAGTGATATCGATTTCTATCATTCGAAAATTTCATTGCATTGCTTGAATTTCCCATGAAATTGCTCCTAGCTGTACTTTCCGTTTTTCCTCTTTTTTCTTCCTATTCAGCGTCTAAATGCACATCTCTCTCAACTTGGGTACAGAGAATGCTACAAAAGCTACAATCCAAATTTTACTCGATGAGTAAAGCATTTATGACTATGAGTAGCATTTAATTGACCAATCAGGACGAGAAGAATAAAGGTCTCTTGATGGTCTGAATGATTAATTAATGGTACTTTATGGTCCATCGAGTCGAATTTTGGAACGTAGCCAAGAAGGAACTGCGTATCAAATCTAACCGTAGAGGAAGTAGGGGTAGAGCTAGGCGTATTATCACGCATGATATCTCACGCGAATCAACCTATCCCACGTAGTGCATACATGCTCCACGTATCTTGCACACGCTATGCACGACGCATCACACACCACACACACACATACACACGTATACGCCAAATGTCATATAATCTACCGATGGACATAACGAACAACAATCTAAAAGAAATTGGAGCTCCGCTGAAATAAGACTGTTTCTTTTATATGTGCGTGTCACACGATTTTTTTTTATAACCAATATCGCCTCTTTGCACTCGGAATACTCGAGTACGCGTAATCTCGCGTTACGTGCGACATTGTTTTGCATCGGATCGAATCATCAGATGTTTATGCTTCATGCGGCACGTAGGCGCACCGTGATGTGACCCGAGAGCAACCCGAGAGCAACGAAACGAGCAGGGTTCCAGCCGTGTGATTTGCATTGTTACTTTTATTATCGCTAATTAATGTTGCGACTAACTGGTCACGTCAGCGACTCTTGCTGAAATGAATCTCGAAACTAGTGGAAGAATGTTCTATCGGCTATTCCTAGCAATTTTGCTTTTCCACTTACAAGTAGGTGGAAATTATTTTGGAACCAACTCCAGGAAAGATGATCAATGCTTCTGCAAGGTATTGGAATTGTTATTCCTTCTATTATTCTAAAATTAAAATTTTATACTTTGTGATTTTGCTTTTATATATTTACAGTTTTTAAGAATGTCATCTTCTATATTTATTTATGATGAAAATTAATTATTCTTGCAATAAAACAATTATCTATAATGAAAAAAATGATTTTATCTTTGTTTTAATATAATTAAAAATTTTTAATTTTATGAACTCTATATTTGCCATATTTCAAAAATTAATTAAAATTTTAGCTGAAGGGATCTATAGATGACTGCACTTGTAACATTGATACCGTGGATTATTTTAATAATATGAGAATATATCCAAGAATTCAAAGTCTTCTAGTCAGAGATTATTTTAGATTTTATAAAGTAAACTTAAAGCAGGAATGTCCATTTTGGGCAGATGACAGTAAATGTGCTATACGTTACTGTCATGTTTTACCCTGTCAAGATGTAAGCATTTTTTGCATCAAATACTATTTTAAATAGTTATTACCATCATCTCTTTCGATTTCTCCTAATCTGTTATAGGATGATATCCCTGAAGGTTTAAAGGGAGAGATTCCAAGAAATATTCATCTTAATGAAAGCCCGGTGGATAAGTATAGAGCCAATTCACAAATCACTGACTGCAGGCACAGTGCAAAAGATCATAATATAGAACTTGGATTTTTGAACACAACAATTAGGTAATTAGATATGGAATTATATATTAATATTAAGTAAAAACAAAAGATAAAATACAAGTTTGATTATAGTTCTGAAAATTATAAAGAATTTGAACGATGGCAACAGCATGATGATGCCCAAGATAATTTTTGTGTAAAAGAATCTAGTCCTGGGGAATATGTGGATCTTTTACTTAATCCTGAAAGATATACAGGCTACAAGGGATTCAGTGCACATAGAATATGGCGAAATATTTATATGGAAAATTGTTTTAGGTAACATAATCATAGATTAAATATTAATTATTGTTGATTTTATTTGTTTCAATTTTATTTAAATCTCTACAATAGATTATTTGTTTCATAGACCTGAAAACTCACCTCACATTTTTATACAATCTTCTAAGATGAATGGTAAGTTTCTTGTATCGACTTTAGTCTTCTTTTACATAGGTTCTTTTGTTATTGTAACTTTAAGACTATTTTTTTAAATTGTTTATCTAAGGTATATTAAATCAAATATAAATATTATAAATATTAAGAAATTCTTATTTTCATTCTTAATATAAATATATCATTTCAGGAATGTGCTTAGAGAAACGAGTTTTTTATCGAGTTATATCCGGTTTGCATGCTAGCATCAATATACATTTGTGTTCGAAATATTTGTTGGGCCCACAAAGCGGTTTGCAAATATCTGACAATCAATGGGGTCCCAACTTGGATGAATTACAAAGAAGATTTTCTCCTGAAACAACAGGTGGCGAAGGTCCAAATTGGTTAAAGAATCTATATTTTACCTATTTATTGCAATTGAGAGCTTTAGCCAAAGCTGCGCCTTATTTGGAAAGGGAAGAATATTATACAGGCAATGAAATGGATGACGAAGATACAAGATTAGCTATGAATGATATACTGAATGTTGTTAAGTAAGTATTCTATTTTATTTCTCTTGTGATATATTGCATGTAAAGTGATAATGAAGTGAACTCACAGAATCTATATGTTAGGTCATTTCCGGAACATTTTAATGAAACAGTTATGTTCACTGGTGGAACAGAGGCACAACTGTTAAAGGAAGAATTTAGGCAACATTTTATAAATATTTCACGCATAATGGATTGTGTGGGATGTGACAAATGTAAGCTATGGGGTAAATTGCAAATCCATGGCCTTGGCACTGCGTTAAAAATATTATTCTCAGGAAAATTTGATAAATGGGAACCAACACTTAACAACCTCAACCGAAAGTTATTCTTCTTAGAAAGAAGTGAAATTGTTGCTTTGGTGAATGCTTTCGGAAGGTAGATATTTTTAATTTCAATATAATAAGAAAAGCAAAAGATCTTTAATGACAAGATATTAACAATATAATATATTTTTCCAGATTATCAGAAAGTATTTTCGAATTAGACAGATTCCGTAGAATGATGAGATAACGCACTATCGATTTGTAATTAGAGATTTTCCAGTACCACTACGAGACATCACGTAAACACATCACATCGCTTAGATTTTCTACTTGCTTTTTTTTTACTATTCTTATTTGTAAAACGTGAATTTTGTTGCATCTGACTGAAATTGAGTGCATGTTTGCATTAATATAAGTTTCTAACATTGCATATTTACATAATTTCAGTGATTTAAATATAAAATATTGTAATCACAAAATGTCAGTTCAATTGTCAGTTGCAATTAAGTTTGGATCCTTTACTCATAATTATATCTTCCGATATTATAGGAAATATATATATATATGTGCATACATATAAACCAATTGCACCAGTGTTTACTCATGCAAGTCGATAATTAAGTTTTCTTCCTATATTTGTATTTTTATTAAGATTATAAGATAAAAAAAGCGAGAGTTACTTAGAATAGTTTAGAGGAAAAAAAATTATTGGTGTACAATTGTGGTTATTACATGAAGAATGTAATTAGATATATTTATCCTGTAAGACTGGTGTCCGAATTGATATTTTCTTCCGTATTATAGCTTTTGACTCCGTCTGTGATAAATATTTTATCTAAGGCAACTATATTTACATAACTTAAATTTGTGTATATTATGCTTTGAAGTTGGGATTTTGTTTATATAATACATATTTTTATATAATCGATGTGACATAAAATCCTACTCGTAAGAGTAATCCATTATTTATAAAGACAGAAATGATTATTGTGTACAAATATATAAATAATATACAAATAACAATTTTCGATACACGCGCGCGCGCGCGCGCGCGTGTGTGTGTGTGTGTGTGTGTGTGTTATATATGGCTTGTGTGCAATGACTGGATTGTACTTGCGAATTTTTTGCAATTATATGAATGTAAGTTTTAATCATATTATAACAAAGCTTGTACGAGTATGTATATGATCCGCTGAATATTAATATTTTATAGTAATAATATAACATGGTATAAAGGAAAGAGAAAAAATAAATTTGGATACAATGTTCCAAGAATATTTCAATAATTTTCTAGTTTTTTACAATCGAATTTCGCGTCCTTTAAAACTTGAATCTGAAATAAGGTACAATTTTTAATTTTAGAGAAAAGCTAAATTTTTGATGCTTAAATCTATAAATTTGCAAAAAGTAAAATTTATTTCAATAATTTGAATCAAGTTTAATCGATTATTTACTTCTCGTTGAAATATGTCTCCTGACGATATCTCTGATGATTCTTCTAGGATATCGAGAAATTATATTATTTATTGTAATTATTCGCGTAAATGCAAATATTTTAATTGAAGTGAAATTACAAGTTTATTTTTTTATATTATTCAGGACATTAC